AGAAATTTGATTTCACAACATCATGTGTGTGCATGTGGGAGATCCTGAATTCTCCCTCAATGAGGATCACAATTTCCCACAAGTTAGGCTAGTTATAACTTCTATTTCTGATGTCTTCCTTGACTACGTATGCCAAATCAACTACCTAGCTTGGGAATATGACACATGCTTAGTTTCGTAATAGGCACGAAATTTTGAAAGTGTTCTTCACTATAATTTAGATTTTATTCTTTCAAGGTCAGAAATTCATATAGGAGAATATTCACTCCCCACGTGATGGGTAATCCAAATTCTCCCCAAGTCATTCATCAAAGTCGCTCTCAATTAGCATATCATCCTAGACAATATTCCTCACATTTAGGGTTTACTAAATGACTGTTAGATAAGGATATGATCTATAATTCATAAAATTGTAAGTTCAAATCTCGTTATTATTAATATAACTAGACCTAATTGTTAGTTGGTGATCAATGAAGCATTTTTTAATTGACCTTAATAAAGTCTTTAGATCTGATTCATTTAAATTTATTTTATACAAAAAATTATTTGTCATTTAGATTTATAAAGTCAATAATATCAAGCAAACTCAAATAAGCTCCAAAAAAAAAGTTAGGGTTAGGATTAATAAATTTACATATTTTTTTGTTTGAGAAAAAAATTCAAGAGCTAAATTACATATTTCACCCCCTACACTTGATTGCTAATTCAAACTCTACGCTTGAAGGCGTATATGCCCTGATTTTAGTAAATTTTTAAGATTTAACTCATCTAAATTTATTTTACACTAAAAAATTATTTTTCATTTAGGCATGAGAGAAAAGTTAAAATCAGGGAAACCACACAGATATCCCACATAAGAATTTTAATAGTAAAAAGTCTCATGAGATGTCAAAATGAATATGAAATTCCGTAGATTTTAATTGCAAATAATTTTTAGCATGCGTATATAAAAGATGCCCTCATTAAAAAAAAAAAAAACAAAAGCCTCTTCCCACGGTTGCCGGCGGCGCAAGTTGGCCAGCCGCTAGATCATTGCTGTCTAGACCACCACCATCGATCAGTGAAGAGAATTTTTTAAATTTTTTTAGCTGAGGATATTTTGGTGAATGCACTCGGCTTTTTTTTTTTCAATGAAAACCCATAGAACTTCATTTTAGTATTATTTTTACATTGGCACGATCCTTTTGGTAATCAAAATTTTTGCATGAAACCCCTATGTGGTTGGGAGAATATCAGTTAAATTTTTAAAAAATAAATTAATAATAGTTAGATCATTAATAAAATTTTATACAAAATAAATTATAAATATTAATTTAAACACTTACAAACAAAATTTTTTATTATAATTTAAGAATTATATTTAATATATAAATAATTATTTATAATTAAAAATTTTAAATTTATAATGATCTGAATTAATACCTTTAATTTATTTTTTTAAAAATTTATCAAGAATAAAAGTGTTATAAATTCAATGCCTTAGACTGCCATTGTCCTTGTGCGGTAATCGCTAAAATTTTGTGCTGCACGTGGCCCTGCTGGATAGGGCAATCATGTGGGTCCCACTTCCAAGGGCGGCTGGCTACCTACCCCTACAGGGTAGCACCGTGCTACGAGTTATGCGACTGGAAATGAGTCTCCACTTTTTTTCTTTCATTTGTCTCCACTTCCTCAATTTTTATCATTTAAATTATTTTATTAAATAATTTTTTTAAATAATAAAATTAATGAACGGTAACTATTGAGAAAATGAAGGAAAATGAAGAGAAAAATATGCGACTTGCGTTGCGTGCAACAAACATTTTCGCAAACAACTAATTGAATTGTTTGCTTGCCGATTTCCCTGACATGCTTTGATGCCTTTGCTATCACCATTAAATTTAGCGCCCTGCTCATTCCCTATTATTGTTTGTCTCTTCTAATAACATTGTCATTTGTCAAGTGTCTTTGGAATTAAAATTAATAATACAATTCATAAATTAAAGGTCCCTGTAAAATTGGCTTTCTATTTTCACATATTTTAATCTTTTATATATGTGTGTGTGTGAATCCTTTATTACATGAAAAGAATGACATTAAAATCTAAAAACAGTGAATTTATGACATTTAAGTCTTCAATAATTTTTTTTTTGAAAAATTAATTATAAATATTGATTCAGATAATTATAAATTTAAAAATAATTTTAACTATAAATAATAAATTTTAATTTAAATATAACATTTATTTATAGTTAAAATTTTTATTTGTAATTATTTGAATTAATATTTATATATTTTTTAATTTTATCAAACACTTAATTATTGTAAATTATCAGTTTCAGGACTTTATTGTCATCCTTCCTTTTACATTCATCGGCGCCCCATCGTTACATAATCTTCTTTGAAATTCCCCATCTCTGATGTTTTTTAATATAATGCTATTTATTGCCGATACTATAGCGACGCAAGCTTGTGATCACTTAAACTGTATCGAACAAAAGGTGCATATTTATAATCAATCCATTGATTCCTACTTTTTACAACTTTTTTCTAATATCAAATGCAATATACAACTCTGGGAGCTTAATATATGCTGTTCATTTTTTTTTCAAAAGGGAAATATCTCATGTAACAATCCATGCTTTGTTTCTTTTGATTGTGTAAATGTATTTCTAGAAAGCAAATTATCATATTTGAGATATGATTAAATACTAAATGTGAGTATATCTTTCAGTTAGTATTCAAATTTTAAGTCACTATGTTATAATGGAAGCCATTTTTGCTAGATTCAATTTTCATTAATTTTCTTTTGATTTCTTTTTAGTGATAGATGACAAGGGGTTGCATGTATACGTAGACCAATTAGGTTTGAGAGTTCTAAAGCCGTGTGAAACTTTTTGGCCACCTTTCATTCTCCTTAATTTGTTCTCATTCTTATATTCTGAGTGTATGTACACACCCCTTTTTTTCTCCCTTAATTTCTGCCAACCAACTAAGCTTGCACTGAGTGAAGTCACTTGTCGACGAATTTAAGGATCAGAATTGGACGAACACCTTTACTCCATATAATATTTAATTAATGTGACTTTGTATGACTTTGCTTATTAGTTGTCTGCTGCTGGATAATTAATATTATATGTATTCTTTTGCGCCTTAGGTTAACTCGAATTAAAGTCACTCGATATAATATAATAAGGTTGAGATTTGAACTTTTGTAGATTAAAATAAATTACGTTGAGAAACCTATTACCTCTAAACGAGTGTAATAATATATGCATGTGAATTAGTTAATATGATACTAGATATAGTTATGCTAAAAAAATTATTTTTCTTATGAATTATGCGAAAATTGTGCATGGAATATATTTTATAATATAGTATTTACTCGTCTCAACCTAATTTCTATTTACCATGCACAATTTGATTAATTAAAAAAATAAAATGAGTAAAACGTCTTTGGGAGAGCCCATAATACCTGAATCTAATCCAGTAAGTTAGTATTAAAAAAAACAATTTTTTTCCTTTTCATATAACAAACTATTTGGGGGTATTAGAATTCTCATTACGCGACCACACCGAAGGTTGAGTTTATCAGTACTAAACCCAAGCCCACTTAGTAAAATAGTATTTCGGTTTAAGTCATCCAAACTAGAATTCAATACATACCCTGATCCAAGGAATATCATGTTCATTAGTATTTGATTCAAGCCCAGTTACTAAAACAGCACATAAAATGGCACGCACTTATTATGAGTATTTTAAAAATATCTTTAACATACTTATTTAATGTAATTACATATTCAAAATTAGAACTTGAAATTTTAAAATAAGTTAATTTTACTTTCTCGACTAGATTAATCAAAGTGCGCTTCGATTATGCCATAGGAATATATGTGTGTGTTCTGCCGAGAGAGGTTTGAGGGACCAGATGCCCTCCACAAGGTCAACGAAATAATGTTGATATGAATTTATTCTACTCACTTTTTTTATGTTTTCTATGTATTAAGTATATATACTCACTTTTTTTGATTTTTTCTATGTACTAAGTATATATACTCACTTTTTTAATTTTTTTTATGTACTAAGTATATACTCGTATATGTGAACGTTTAAAGTGCGGGAATAATTGGGAAGTAACTAATCGAAGCCAAAGTAGATTCTACCTATTTCTGATCTTTAATTCTTTTAGTTTAGAGCCGTCAAAATGAGATCAAAGAAGTGGAATTTTTTTTTTAAAATTGATTGATGATTCAAACCGATTTAATTATTTGATCCCCAGTACATAATACCGAAAATTTATTTTCACCAGCCATTTGTAATGATTTTATCAAAAAAATAAAAATAAAAAGAAAAGTGATTCATGTAGCTTCAATGAAAGTTAGAATGGGAAAAAAGTTTTGACAAGACCTCATACATTAAAACCTATAGTCACACATAATCTTGCTTCCGAGTTCCATAATTCATTACATTTCACACGCACACTACAATAAATAGCAAACAAAATGATCATGAACTCAATAATTATATCGTATCACAACCCCCCCCCCCCGAAACACGGCTTTATATATATTATTTTCAAAAAGAAAAAATCACTAGAGTGAGGCCGGTTTAATAATAATATAACATCCAATGCAAATAAGAATGAATGAATGCAAGGAATATACGATTGAACATGCATTGATCTTTTTGTATTTTTGCATGCAAGCTAGGAATAATTATTATTGCCAACCGATTTTAAAATGCAATACTAAATGTGCGAATTTATATAATTATAAATTATTCTTGATACTGTGTGACCACACACAAGTTAGACTAATTAAATTCTCTAGGATGATCATTATGCATGATTGGGATTTCTCACATTTTTGATGTATCCATCACTTTCTTCACAGTTTAAGACTTTAAAGCTCATTCACTCACTCACATGCACACACATGTTCTTCCCTGTTTAAACTTTAAAGCTCTCTCTCTCGCTCTCACACACAAAGGCACACGCACAAATTCGATAACTGAGAGTAGAATTTCAAATTAACAAACTGGATAATTGATAGTAGAATTTCGACAAGTATCTAATCAACAGGACTTGAATATAACTTAACTGGTGGAGGTAATTAATTCATAAAACACATGACAGAAGAAGAGGAGGAGGAGGAGGAGGAGGAGGAGGAGAAAGATTATTACTTCAAGATGTCACTCTGATCACCAGCAAGGTAATGAAACGGGAATTTGTGGGATGAAGAAGGAGGAGGATGAGAAGCCCCCACATGAGGAACCACTGGCTGGTGTTGTTGCTGTTGTTGTGAAGCTAAGAGTTTGTCCAAGAATGACCAGTCTCCACTATTGAGTCTCTGATCACCTTGTTGCTGTTGCATGAGACTACTAATGAGTCCCCCAGGAGAAGAAGAAGAAGAAGTTGTTGAAGCCAGCCTGAGTAAGTTGTGAGAGCAGTGAAGGACGTCCAAGGGGTTCATCGTCGCAGTTGACGACGACGAGGAGGTTGCAAGAATGGGTGGTACTGCAGATTCTGGGCTGAATAGCTGTGGTAGGTGCATTGAGGCATTAAAGCAGCTACTATAATTACTGTTATTATAGTTACTATTATTATTATTATTATGGTGGTCATCATCATAAGGTAGAACAAGTCCTTGATGATGATGATGATGAAGGTGGTGGTGGTGTTTCAGTGGTTCAAGTACCTTCATGCAATTACTAGAAGCAGTACTTGTTGATGCCATGTGGCTCATTATCTGCTCATCTTCCATTTCATGTTGAAATCCTCTGTTAAAGTTCTTCTTCTTGAACACCCTGCACACTACCCACCCATCTTCCTGTTTCACATTTCACAAACCAAGTGTATAATTCCCAGATTCTTGCTATAAATTTATAAATATTAAACCCAGAAAATAAGCAGTTTATATATATATATGTATATATATATCCAGGTTTTTTTTGTGCGTAATAAAGTCTACGCCCTAAAAACAAGGTGAATTAACTCTCACAAACTAAAGCTTAACCTATCAAACCCAAAATAACAACACTTGCATATATACTTAATCGTGGTCTGAAAAATGATCTGAACTCCAATATCACACACACACACACACACACACACACACGCACAACTCTGTGGCTGATGATGAAATACCAAGTTAGAGATGTATGAGGTACCTGAAGCTCAGCGTCGTCTTGGTCTAGACGGTACTCATGCATGATCCAGTCAGTCTTTTGGCCGTGAGGAGCACGGCCAGTATAGAACACTAGGGTTTTCCTCATCCCTATCCTCTTGGAATTGCTCAGGTAGATGGCCTTGTCCCTCCCCGTTGCTTTCCAGAATCCAGCCGTCGTCGCCCGGTTCGTTCGTGTTCCGGTTGGGTACTTCTTGTCCTTGTGGCTGAAGAAGTACCACTCGTTCTGAGGTCCTGATCCAATCCTACATTTCTCTGCACACATAAAACCAGCCATGCTTTATCACGCTAACTAGACGTTCACTTTGCTAGGGTTTACATGTAGTTAGACATATTGCGACTGACTGATGAGAACCTCATGAAACATATATAAGCAGTACTAGTAGATTATATGCAACTGTGTATATGTGTGTGTGTGTGTGTGTGTTGTATGTATATAAACAGACCTTTGAGATCCCAAGGCTCAAGTTTGTTGAGATCAACTTCTCGGATGACATCGAGGTCAATGGCTTCAAAAGAGACTTTCTTCCTGAGATAATAGTAAAGAAGTTCTTCATCAGTAGGGTGGAATCTGAACCCCGGAGGCACTGCTATGTGTCCACTTCCTTGCATCATTCTCTGCCTTTTTAATCTGATCTTGATGATTCTATCACCTGAGAAACAAAGCAGGTTTCACACAGCTATGTGATATACTTTGATTTCATATGCATATATATGTCCATGGCTCAACTCGAAGTAAATTAACCAACTATACCATTTGTGGTGGATCCATAAAACCTTCTGGTACTGTATGAAAACTGATACACATATCTTGGTTTAAGCGTCTGCTATAAGAACGTATACGAAGCCAAAAACTTTTTGTTGAGCATGATGTTTACATCAGAACACAATCCTATGTAGAAACACAGTTCCATCTAGCTACCTCATTCATGTGTGTGGTGATGAAGACTCATATTCATGACTTGATTTTCATTATGAGGCCCTCCCCTAAAAGAAAGAAAAAGAACCAAAAAAACTGCATGAAATTACATGACAAAACTTGGGCTACTCTCTTTTAACCCAAATCTAATGAAGTATGGGGTCTGATTGAAACCAACACTGGAGAGTTAAAGATCAGCTAGATTGGGCCATTAAGGAAGCATAAAGTTCCGAGTCATATAACCACGAAAAGAGAAGAGACGCAGAAAAAAGAAGGAACGAAGCGGAGAAAGGTTAAAAGTTTAATGAAAAGAGTACAAGAAGAGAAAAATACAAACCTTGTGTGAACTGTATGTGAAGCAAGGATTGAGTCGGTGTGAAGGACAAAGGAAAGCAGACAAGGAAGAGGAAAAGAGCAGACAGCGATGCGAAGCTTACGTTGCCGCTACTCAGTTGCTTCGCTTCAAGGGCACGGACGTGGTTTTTAAGAGAGAAGGAGACGCAGAGAGATGTATTTGGATCAGTGCAAACCTAGCTTCACCATCAAGGACTGACAACCAAGAATGGGCACAGAAATAAATAAATATTGTATTATATTGCATTAACCAAATGAACAAGAATTATGAGCAATCAAAGGTACAGTTTTAATGTTTTATACTTATAGTATGGGCGTGAGGAGCTTTAAGGTTTTCTTGACTCCTTTTTATCTGGGTCCTTAATCAAAGGCACACTTTTTATAACATGAATATATTTTACTTCTAAAAGTATTTTTTTAAAATAAACTGAAACAGGTTGATTAAAAAAAGACAATGATACAACAAAATTATCTATATATATTATAAAAAAATAAATGATCAATCACATGAACGTAAGTGCTAATTACATCATATAATTTTTTTAACAAAATTTGATTGTAATTAGATTTATTAATATATCTATACCTGATAAATAGAATTCATTAGGCCAATATGTATATGGAGCTAAAGGGCTATATACTCCCTTCGGTCTTATTTATAGGGCAGAGAAAAAAGATTTTTTTTATCTCATTTATAAGTTACATTATTGATTTTTTATCACAAACTTTCCTTTTTTATTTTTTCATTAATGTTGAAGAGAAAAAAATATGTTATTAAAATGTGTATATTTAATAGGAGTAAAGTTAAGAACTTATTAAATTTTTAGATAGAGTAAATAAAGTTTAAGGCTTTTTTTGATATTGATAAAATATATTAGAAGTGATTTACAAATAAAATTAGAGGAGTGTGTGTGTTCTATGTTTCTTGTGTATATGTACTTGTATCATTATAATTTAATTTTTAAGTACGTATGAATGCATTGTGAAATAATTAATTAAATAGGCTTTGGTAAATGTTGGTCGAATAGGAGACCTTGCTTCCCTAAGAATCGCCTTATAACAATGAAGAAATTCTGCTTAACTGTCAATTAGTAATATCCATATACACATTTACGTACTCTAACTCTTTCTCTTTAGTTTTTCCTTCATTTTTTATTTTAATATAAATTAAAATGCGTGCTGTTGTTTTTTTTACTTCATTAAAATACAATAAATCGATAAGCTGTCCTCAAATTACTCCCTTGTTCAGAGACACATGATCAAGTCAAAGAATAACGATATACAAGCAATTTCAGCTCTTCCCAAAATACTTAATCTCCCTCATTCTTATTATTCTTATTATTGCAATTATCTATGCTATAATTATTCCCTGGGTTTGAGTCTGTACAAGTGAGCGTGTGCTTAGTTAGGATTATTTTTATATTATATAAAATATGCTCAACAGTTCTTTTTGACCCGTCGTTTATTAACCTTAAGAGTTAGCTCTCTCTCTCTCTCTATATATATATGTTGCTTGATCTTGATTATTTTTATATTTTAATATTTCATACATAGGGTTTTGCAAATATGGAGTCAAGGAATCCAGCGGCCAGCCTTGAATCATGCTCATAAAAGTGGAGAATTTGCATCAAATTCAGTGTAGTCAAACCCTAGGGGTTCTATATATCCCATATATAGTCATTATTATTCATCGCCAAGAACATCTCTACTATAAATTTAATTATTCAAATAATGAATCACGAATTTAAGTTAATTTTTTTGGGTTATTGGGATGCAGCCATCATGCATAATCGTGATTCCGGATCCTAGATAATATTAAAAATATCTGAAAATGGATTAAGCTAAAGAAGCCAAATAAGTCGACCATTTATATAACCCCACAAGTTTACATAGGGAATGTGTCTAGCTAGACCGTAACTTTGTCCAGATTATGATATTTTCTAAGTTTGAACTAATTAATATATTCGCTTGTTTATATATATGTTGGTATTTATCTTGAGTCCCAGAAAAAATGAAAGCAATTTTTGTTTGGTCGTTCGAAGTTTTAGACCACGCTTGTTTGCTAGTACGTGATCCATGGATAATATCAGCATATCCTTGACCATCTTTAGGTTGGATTTGTCTTGAGTGCACACACACGCACACAAACAATGCAGAAATGTGGTGAAAGCCAACAAATTAAATTAACTTATACTTGCTGATTCCTTCCTGCATAATATTTCTGTAAATTTTTACACACAATATGGCCATGGATATATATATATATATATATATATCTCACAACAACGTACGTGAATTACTAAGTATTGTATTCACCGGGACCTTTTGTCTTATAAGATAGTTAAATATATATAAATAGTCTTTTGTGTGCGTGTGCGTATGCGCGTGTGTGTGTGGGTGGGTTGGTGGGAGATTTAGATTTGAAGTTTATTTAAGCAAGATAAGAAACAAGTCGAAGAATCCGATGCTTATATGGAATAATTAGTGATATTTTAAGGCTTGCGAAGTAACTCTAATTTAAAGTTTGCATATCATTCGTAAGAATTTTGGACAACAGGTAGGTCGGATCAAATTTATGCTTTAGTCACTCTGATTTGCTTAATTTTATGATTTATACATGAACATTCTATTTACTTATTTTAATTTATTATTACCCTTTTCAGGTTTATACATAAATATTTTTATATATTTTAATTAAATTATATCACTTGAATTATGAACGGTCAGGTTGACACAGTTAGTTACTATTGACCTTTGAATTATTATTTTGATCGGTTTCATGATCCGATTTTCAATACTTTGGTACTACGTACTCTCTCTAAAAAAATCATTGAAAAATACATACCTCATAATTAGAATCATAAGAAGTATGACTTTTCAATTTTGAGTCCATGCATCCCATAAGATGACTTCGATTGAGATCTAGTCTAGTAGTCAATAATAATTTCAAGTGAGTAAATCAACCAAGAAAAAGTAATTACGAACGCATTTGCCAAAAGCAACTCGTTAAGCATTTAATTAATCACAGTTATTATTCTTTTTTACTATTTAGCATCTAGCAATATCTAATCTACACTCAAGTAGGCCAGCTCTTACTCCTGATAACACTCTTTTTAGCAACACCGAAAAGCCAAAATCAAATATAGCTCCAAAATTAGGGTCAAGTACTGGATAAGAGACTATATATAATTACTTTTGCAAATTATATATATAGCGAGAGGGGGGGGGGGGGGGGGAAGCCCTGTGAAAGCGCGTGGGTGAAGCACGTGGGGATGGAATAAAAAGGACAGAAATGAAGGTCTCGGTTGCACAAAAATCCCATTTTTTTTTTGAACGACCAAAAAATCCCAATTAACAAAAAGCCTATGAGGGATGGATGTGGATTGCTCACTTCTGATTCACTCACTCTCATACCGATCGAATGGATTCTCACGCTACCTCACTGCGTATTACTTCTCTCATCTTCAGATGACAGTGTTAATTATCAGCACATAGCTGGTCAAACACGTACATGTGTAATGATGAATCATGGAAATTAATTGTAACCCTAATTATAATTATCTACCACACTCTTAATTAATCACTTGAGCTTGTTGTGGTGCCGTTATCTTTACGGACACTGCATCAAACATTAATGTTTCTTCAGGCATTTCATTATTCATCCCAGAATCCAATGACTTCTCTTATCTATCTCTAATTTCAGGTTCATGGCTCCGTGTTCTCTTCCATGCTGCTCCCACAGCATATCATTAACTCTCTCAATTTTTTTTAAAAGAAAAACTAATTAAGCAGATTTTTGAATAATAAAATTTGATTTAGTTGGATTTAGAAAAGTCAGACCTACACCAACAAAAGTTGGTTTAGCTAATAAGAATTTGACTTACAACCCAAAAGGTCGTGTGATTAAATTCTATTAACAATTCTTGTTGGTGGGTCTCACACACACACACACACAAAAGAGGGTTTTTGAGCCTGAAAGCATGTCCTAATTTTATTGTGCTCATAGAATTCAATTCTTCTAAATTTTAATTTACCAAAAAACAATAAAAACAAAAGTCAGGTTTACTTTAATCATCTTATATAGCGGTTGGTTAAATTGATTCAATTAACAGACATTTTAATATCTTCAGTTTCTAATGTTTAGAGGTTGATGTTCATATGGTTTATGTGGGAAACATTCAAACAAGAATTTTTTTCATGTTCGAAATATACTCCACAGATCTCTGAGATTGAAAAAACCATATAAACGTCCTTGAATTTTGTTAAAATTACAAAAATATCCATTATATGCTCAATGGAGGGTTGTAAATATTTTTGAGGCAAATAAGATATTCGTGTAATTTTAACAAAATTTAATTGCATTTGAAAAGCTTAAGTGAGCTTGTATCTTATTTTGCCGGACAGATTAAAAGCTTAAGTGAGTTTGTTTCTAAGAACTTATTATTATAATTAAGCTTTAAAATTCAAATGATGCTCCTATGAATGCTTGCAGATTCGTGACATGACTTTGATCTATGCTTTTGTAGGGTACAAGACGTGTGCTTGTCACAATTGGATCAATTTGGCTGGCTTTTATATGACAAATTTACTAAATCATGATTAACGTGGTACACACTTCATCATCAAACTGTCAAAGAATAGCTTGCCTTTTTGGTCATGATTAGATAAAACCCATTTGCAGCTAATTTCGTTTCAAGAAACCCACTTGGTGGATACAAGTTGATTCCTGTACCTCATCATCACCAATGGCTAGCTATGGCTGAAAAAATGCCAAAACAAGTAATATAATATTAATAATACAGCTGCAATTACCAGCTTGATACATATGATCACACAAGTTTGAACATGCTGAACTTGAGCACCTCATGAACCTGTTTTTGCGCAATCATTATACTAAACAACTCACTAAATTCTCAGAAAAAGTACAGAGCGCCGCTTCTTGACTTCGCTTTTGGAGACACATTCAAATTGAACACGTTTTCTGCCATTTTCTCTTTACGTTCAATTTTCTTAAAGAATATTCCCGGATTTTCTTGCACGCGTACCGTAAATCAATCTGCACATGTAAACTTGACAAAATCCCAAAGGAGACAGTATAGAGGGGAATTCACATATTGATGACAGCTATCTGATGTCAATTATTCTTCTGCGTAATCTTTGACAGAACCAGAGCTGAAAAACTAGATCACTAAATTGGAAAGTCCTAAGCCATATATATAATTCTCATATCTTCAATTTGAAACTCCTACCTCAACTTACATAGCAGAAACAACAACTTCCCTACTGGATTGCAGGGTACATAAGCTTTTAAAACATTCAAATTGAGAGTGAATAGCAAAATAAAGTTAAAACTGATTTTCATTTTATATGATACATTGATGATTTACAATGGTCAGTTTTTACTTTTTAGGCTTTTGCATGTTCTTAAAATAAAACCAGAACTGTCTTCTGTTGAGTCATTGTCTAGTTGAGTCATGCCTTGGCGTGTAGAAGTTGTTTACATAATCTAGAAGGAGTGAATTGACATTTTATTCTCTAAACTGGTGCTTTGACATGTATGGAGTGTGAGATAATCTAGTGTTCTGCTCCATTTTATTGTCATTTCAAACAGATATATAACTAAAGAAATACCTAAATTTGCAAATAATGACTCAATAAAACTCTCAGAATCTTACACATTGAAGATACAGACTGGGCTTATATGGTGATTACATTTGTCTTTTCTACCTGCTAAAATCAGGAATTCAGGGTCCTTTACAGAAAATCAGAAGAGCAACTGCACTAATTCATAAACCAGACACAAGGTGATTTTACATATTTTTAATTCATTTACGACCTTTCAAGTTCAAATTTTAGAAACAGGCTCACAGGGTCTCCAATGCTTCACATTTGTGCTCAGAGGAGATGGGAGACTGGCAGACCATGATTGCAAATCAGGCAAGGATCCTGTAAGTGCCATAATATTTGCACCATTTTCCTTCGGCATTCTCTTCCAACTCAACTGATCAAGTCAAACACAAACTGTAAGCATCCTTAAAGAAAACCTAAGGAATTACAAGAACACAGTGAGTCAACTTTTATTGTTCAAAGGCTCACCATGTGTTTAGCTAGCACACCACGTCACACAAAAATTTTTCGGGCTTGAAGTGTGAGCAAAACACAAGTTTATCATACATCATGCTCAAAATTTTAGTTAAAGAATTTGGGGTCCAACCTCCGAGGAAGAGGAGGTTGGAAGACTTTATCCTTATTCATGGTTGAGAGCCGTGTTGCCTCTCATGTAAATCTACTAATGGTTTAACTCAATATGAGACCGGAAGTGCATGTCTTTTTTTTTTTTTTTTACCGGCCAAATGGAAGTGCCTGTCTTTAACTGCAAAATATCTGTGTCTTGTTGATAGTATTAGCGTAACATATTATCATAGATTGTACAGTAGAAAAGGAAAGAATCCTTGACATCATACCATCATCCTATGCAATCTTATACCCTGACACGGGCATGATAATCAGCTTGAGGATTTGAAGCTTGTAACTTAGCTTCATCAAGTTTGAAGTCTATTACGTATAAAGTATCGATGAGTTAATATTCTTAAGGCAATGGTAATTAGCTGGTCCAAATAATTAATGCTGATGAGTGTGCACCAAACCTCGAAACTTGTCTATCCTTTCTCACAACAAAACACTTCCCCATCCCAAATTATAAGACAACTTTGGAGGTATTTTGTTGTCCTAAAATATAAAACAATTTAACAGAAATAAAGTTTTATTAATGATGCTTTTCTCATTTCACCCTTCAAGAAGAAAGAGCATTGAAATGATTGTATTGTAATCATTAAGTGTGCAGACTTAAAGTTACATTAAATTTAGGGTATTTTTGGAAGTTTATACTTTGTTTTGAGAAGTTAGTAAAATTTCATTATTGAGCTTTATTGGTATATGTAATCTTGTTTCAAATTGTCTTATCATTTAAGACGGAGGGTACAGCTAACAGATGCAGAATGAGAGAAAAGTATTGTTTTTTCATTTTATGGTTTGATTAATTTTAAAATTACCAATAAAGGCATTGGTATTTCAGTAGGATTTTTTTTTTTTTTGAGCAAAGTATTTCAGTAGGATTATGATCCTTGTTTTAGCTGCTTATGTTAAAACAGGGCTTTTTTTGGGAAAAAAAAACTATTTATCCCCTTCATTATAGATAAAATTGACGTAAAATATTTTGATAAAATTGTCCTTTCTCTTTTAATTTCCTTCCTGTAGTATGTCAGTAGTCTATTCTTTGGCACATTTTGCCCTTAAGTAAACCTTATCAATAGGTAGTATTAACGTATTATAAAACAGCACAGGAATCAAGTCAAACAACAGAAAGCATACTTGTCTAGGAAATGCTTTGGATAATGCATTCAATGCTGGATTTTTGAACCATATCCCATCACTTGATGAAGTTTCAGAATCAGAACTTGCATCCGATGCATCCGATCCCCCATAAGTGCCACCACAATTCACCATAAATCGACCTCCAGGCATCAATCTATCATGTAACTCCAACCAAGTACTATCCTATCAAAACAAATAGTAAAAAAAGTGAAACCCAATGCTTGTATGCTGAGAAAATTTAGTAATTTTGTTTTTCAATGACTTTCGTTGAGAAAACAAAGAAAAAGAGCTTAATCAAATGAGAAAAGAAAGCCACAATTTGTTTAGATTAAGAAAATCTCGATCTTAATAGGTTCTATAAGCATTTAAGGCTTAAATCTGCTTTGAGATTCCATGATCAGCACATGAAGAAACTTTTCATGCTATATTTATATATACTGAAACAGAAAAGGGTCGAATTAAAACCAGAGACAGCATGAATTCCTATCTTGGATAAAAATTCTTGTTTTTGATCAGCCTAAGCGTCTGACGCTGCTTCCTGGCCATTAGGAACTTCACAGTCACCTAAGACGTGCAAATCAGTGTGATGAAAACAACCACATACCTCATGCAGCTGAGGCAAGACTTTTCCGTCAGAGAACAAGTCAACAACAATGCCTGAGAAATATTCAAACAAATGTTGGTGGACGGTCAAAGTAACAGATTTACTTCCATTAAAATTGAACAACGATGCATTTCCAAAAGTGCTTGACTTAATATATGTGGTGAATTCTACAGCTCTTCACTCTTTTTCTTAGTTCATAAGTAAACAGGTGAAATGGAATTCCAAACAGATAAAGAGATTTTTTGCTGAATAGCAGAAAATGGATAACAGATTAAATAATTAAGCTAAGGTAGTAGCAGAAGTTTAATATGATTAAAAGAAGTATCAAAAACCCACAAGGAACTAGACAAACAAGGGAAAATGACGGGAATGACTCACCAGCATATTTCCTTTGCAAATCCTCTGATGGAATGAAGACATCACCAACATGTACATTTAGTATGCCACCATCTTTTGTTGGTTTCTCCAGATCAGATAGACCAAAATAATCTCTTGCTTTATCAATCAACTTAATCATTTGGTTTTTCAAGGAAAACACAGGCAAGGTCAGGATACATGCATCAAGGATCAATGAAACTTACTTAAATGAAACCTTATTGCTTTAAATAGAAATGAAAATTTGCACATAATCAACTGAGACCAAGAAAGTCCCGAAAAGATATTGCCAACACCAAGTTCGGCAGAGGAAAATTAATCAACTAGAGTTCCTTTTAAGCGGTTATACAAGTAATAGAAGCAGAGTTGATGAACAGGCCTTTGAGAGGAACCTAGAGCTGCTGTATATGAAGTAAACATCCCACGTAACTTAAGGAAAAAATTATTCGATATTGTATTTCAAATAGAAAATGCTCAACTTCAAAGTTCTTATTCATATATTACAGTTAGCTTTAGTTCATAAAGGCATAAAAATAAAACTTAGATTTAGCTGCCTTGTGGTGATGACATGCTACATTGCCAGGCTACTTACAACAGATAGCTTTATCTTTTTATCCAAGCAGTTTTATCCGAAACAAGCTCACCACAGAGAAAGAAAATCCATAAAAGAAATGTCATCCGGTGACTAGTGAGTCAAAAAAATTACTTTCATGTTGATTAGCCTCTTTGGCAAAGATATCAATACCCTAAACCATTCAACTGGGTAATAGAGTGAATCTCCTCATCGCTTTAAAGAGGAGAGCTGACCCCGCAGATGAGCAAAGGAGTAAATAATGAAAATTGCATTATGATTTTTTTTTTTTGAAAAAAAGTATAATGCAGAAAAGTAAAATCCATTACAATTTCATCAATCTCCCACCCTTCAAGCTGCAGTGAAGGCCACAAGTCAAGCATCAGATGAGCAGCTGTTCCACCACCCTGAAAGATTTAGCAGCAATCTGGCATTACTTAAAAAGATACCTAGGTTTTATAAATATCATTGACTCTAATTTTGTGAAATATCTGTCATCATAAAAACAAATGAATTACCAAACCTAAGATAGCGATGGGACCTTTTGGAACTATAGCTGGCAAGCTAGCAAACTCATCCTGATTAATGGAAACATAAACATCATCACAAAAATGGGCAAACAAAATTAGAGGCAAACACCCCCCCCCCACTTAGAAACAAACTCGCCTGCATTAAATAAGTTATAGGTTTCAGAAATGATGAAACTTGCTACTATAGCTAACACTGCGTAAAGTCTCTGATTAAATTAGTCATAATTTAATACTAAATACCAAAACAAAGAAGGAAAACTAACACACCCAGTAGGCTTTTGTCCATTTTTGCTCCTTATAAAGAATGCTATGTATGTTGTCTGCAACCAAAGAAGAAAAATCCGGACAGATTATTCATCCTTAACATATGAAGTACAATCAAATTAATATAAAAAAGAGAGGGGTCATTTAATTTCATAGTTTGTTCACTTGATTTCTTTCTAAAATATAATTGCAACAAATTTAGCAACACCATCTTGATTGCTCTCAAATGAAGAGCGTCCATACAGTTTGAAGTACACAAAAATCAGAGAAACAGAGAGAGAGAGAGAGAGAGGGAGGGAGGGAGGGAGGGAGGGAGGGAAAGATACAATAGGAATCAAGGAGGAGCACTCTAGATTCGGGAGTGTCGATGATCATGATGTCATTGTAATCGCTTTTGACAACCGTCAGCACTTGAAAGCTTTCTTCTTCCTCTCGTTCGCTGTCTTGGGCAGAAACCGAAGTGGAAGAGAACTCAGCACTGGCCTTAACTTGGTGACTACAGAACAAGGTGGAGGGATTTCCAGAGCGAACGCTGACAGAGTGGCGAAGTTGAATTGCAGAAATGGGAAAAGTGAAGGAGAAGCCACTGTGGGTAATGCGTGGAAGCGCCAATTTGGGCAACGGCAAGGCGCACCCTCCCATTGTAGAATTCAGAGAGAACGAAGATAGCAAGTTCCTCATTGTCCATATAACTCTACATGTCCATATCCAAAACGTTGTATTAGTTTATATTTTTTTTCCCCTCTGAAATATACAAACTCTCTTGTATTTGAGACTGTTATCCTTCACCCTTAAAAATTTAAAGTTAATATTCCTAATTTTTTACTTTTTTTGTCATAAATTTTTGAACTGTTATTTTTTAGCTATCTTATTAATATAAATTATCATATTATATTAAGAAAAGACATATAACAACTTATGTGGTATTCAATGTAAATTAAGTATAAAAATTTTATCCATATTTTTTATTATTAACTTACATCAGATATCATATAAATTGTTACATGTTTTTTTCTTAATATGATATAATAACTTCAACTGATAAAACAACTAAGAAATAGGCCCCCAAAAGACAGTTAAGAAATAACAGAGTTTGCAGTTAAAAAAAAAATATTAGAGAAGGTAGTTTTAAATTTTTAAAGATGAAGGAATTATGTAAAACTACCTCAAAATTTAGGAGAGTTTGTATATTTTAACCTTATTTTTTTAATATATATATGAAAAAAATAAGCCTAGTCTTGTTATTCATAAATTCATAAATTTTAAATAATGTAGTTATTATTTTTAAAAATTTTGTTGGTGTAAGAAAAAAGCATGTGTAGTTAATAAATGTACAAGTGATAAAATAAAAAACAAGATTTTCTCCATTTCATTCGTATACTATTTGCAGATTTTGCAACAACAATGATGAATTTCACTGAGGCCTAGTATATCATGGGTGGCCTTACATGAACAAAAAGAATACAACTTACCCAAAAATAATTGAAAGTTTCAGCCATACAAAAATAAATAATAATTACAATTCCTCACCACTCAATTTGCGCTCGCTCGCTCTCTCCACACCAAACCCCAAAAAATTAAATTGGCCCAAAAAAAAAAAATTGACGTACCGGTGCATGCACACTCACTCTCTGCTCTATACAGTGAGTCCATGTGCAGAACAAACCATATCCTTGAGTGTCGCGAACCCGGTTCGCGCCAAAAAAACTTCTGTGCCCAAAAGAAAAGGAAAGAACTATAGCTTTACATAAAAAACCAAAACTTCATCATCTCAGTGAGACTCGCCATCCATTTGCTGCAATAAGAATTGGAAGTCGGATCTTTGTCTTAGGATTGTGGGCGGATCCACATCGATATCTGATAAGCGGATGTCACTCATGGAACGGAACATCTCCTCCATTGAGAAAGGTATACTGAAATTTGTAAATTAAACCAGTGCCATTGATTAATAGAGGAAAAAGAAAGGTTTTCAGGGTTGACTAGAATTTTTTTAGGGGTCGTTAACTCTAAACCATGTTCTAAAATCCAGCTTATGGTTCGTATTTGTCTTGCATTAGAACATCATAAATTGACTTGGAGCTCAAGTCTCTCACATGATTAAGCTTGTCTACAATAGTCGTACAAGTCTAATTAGAATTTCATTTTTTCAAGTGGGATTCGAGTTTCATAGCTTCCTGTGTGGTGACTGAAGTTAAAAAGGGTTAAAGTGTTGAAGAGTTCGTTAGTAATGAATTACCTGGAATCCACCTCCAGAAGGAAGGAGTTATTGGGCATGTTTATGGAGTCTTCTGCCACAAGCACTCTCATTCTGCTGATTACCTGGAAAAAATTTTCCAAAACACACACACACACACACACACATCAAAAGTTGTGATTTTGGATAAAGGGTACCACTGGCAGTATGTAGCGATGATACATATGTTAGGGTCTGTTTGGATTTCAGTTGGGTATAATAGATTATGAAAATAATTGATTAAGTGGTAAATTTTAATCATAATTGATTATGTTATAACGTAATCTGTTTGGATACTGTTTTTTTAAAATTGATTTTAACAGAATTGAAGATATTTGGATAATTTAATCAAAATTAATTTTTAACTATATAATTTAATTTTTAAATATCAAATATTAATTTTTTAAATATATAAACTTTAAATTTTATTAAGGAAAAAAAAAAGAAAAAGAAGAGAGTTTAATTTTATTTTTATTAAATTATGTGCTTTCTTTGTAATTTTTTCCTGAGCCTGTTTTTGTAATTTTCCCCAACGTTTTTGACAAACTTTTGGCAGAAAGCGGACGAAGGGAGCTTCGGGAAAAACGCGCGTTTTGGCCCAGAATCGATTTTTGATCATTTTCGACTGTTTGGATAGATTGACAGAAAAAATCGATTTTGGGTCCAAAACGCGCGTTTTCTCCTTATCCAAACGGGCACTTAATTGTATTGATTCTTGAAGAACTTAGAATCCAACAATTCTAGATTTTGTTGTTTGGCCGTCAGGAAAACTTCTAGGTAGCTTGATTAGGATTTCTTGAGCTCTAAGATTAGATTACTTGTCCTTGTGAAAATTGTTCTTTGGTTACCATTTCTATTCTGTATGATCATAATTAGTTATGATGCAAATTAGTTGACTCTTCTGCTTGATTTTCAGTGCCATTTGAATTTTATTAATTTGTTCAAAAACATTGTCATGTGTTTTTAGGTTTTTCCCCCCATCAATTAACAGATAGGATTCTATCTTTTGGTCTACCATTTGTGTAGAAAATGTTTCCTATTCCGATAACGCATCTTTTAAATTTTGAAAACAACTGTTATGGTTCCTTTTGAACGTTTTCAAGTTTTATCATTCTTAGAACCAATCTGAGAAAGAAATATATTTCTAAAAAAGTCAAGGACATACTTCTGGAGATAACCCTTGTGCTCCATATTTGTCATCCCAGAACATGGTTCCAATGCGATATATTTGTGGGATACTTAGCACCTGATACAAGAACGAAAACAACAAGCGATAAAACAAGAAATAATACATCACGCCATTACAGTATTGACATTTATAATCATTCTAGATGCAATGAACAAGAGCTACAAGCTAAAAAGAAGTTACTTCTTATTCAAATGGTTTCATGGAAGAAATTATTTTTGTTTGGAGGTTCTTTTTTTCTTTTTTTTCTTTTTACTTGATCAAATTATTAAGGGAAAACTATGCATTTTTTATTAAGGAGTTAGTTAATTACCGGGCATAGTTCACTTGTTATCTCATCCAAAGATTTTTGAGTCTTTTGATGCGAGATCTGCATAAAGAAGCATTTTGAAAATTAAACCTTGAGAAATGGGGGAAAGAAAAAGATTAGTCCAGTACAAAATCTAGGTCCAGGAAACTGTACCAGAAAGCCCACGGCTTGGCGTATGTGTTTGAGTTCATCCCAAGAAGATCCAGCAAACTGCAAAATGAAAAAACTAAGTACAAGATGAATGTTTTGCTTTTCTTCTCTTTCCAATCTAGGTGCTTGTTACTTCAAAAATATAAGATAACCTGATCAGTTGCCTTGATACACCATTGTTCCAACTCATGCAAACCCGCCTTTAAATACTCTCCATTGCTAAAGGAACAGCACTCACGGCGAAGCAACAAACTGCCAGTTCATGGTTTTTGTTATTTGATTGGATTTGCTGTATATTAGAATTTGAATGCACTATCTCTTAACATTCCTAGTGCAATTTTTTGGGACCCAAAATTCCTTTAATTGAATATCTTCTCACCTATTGAAAAGCTGGACATTCATGAAAGAAAACACCTGGCTAAAGATCTTCCTTGTAATCATCGAAGGTACCTGAAGTCACAAGATGTATATAATATTGTGAAATCTCTTCTTTAATATAGAAACTCCAGCAAAAGCACATGTGTATTTCGTACTCACAAAGTTTTCAGACAATATACCCAAGGCATGGTCTAACTTATTGACAATGCTTTTCCAGTGCATATTTGATGCCTGTTGTTTTGCAACTATATTGGAGTGGATATTTCTTGATGATCCTCGTACTGATTTAGTTCTCATGGATCTTGGTGCCTGTCAAAGGTGATATAAGGACAAGGTAATTGAGTAAGATATAATCTCCTGGAGTAATTTGAGATTGTTTATATAATATGATGTCAACCTGAATGCACAAATTTAGGAATGGACTGATCTCTTTCTTTAAACTGTCACGGATCATTCCATATATCTTCTCAACATATGCAGTTAAATGTTGCTTGAACAGAATAGCTGGATACTTTGCTTCCACTTTAGATTGTTCATTTGGCTTGCCCACCATTCCACTGTAGCCACTCGAAACCCCCATGCTCATAGAGGATGAAAGTAAGCCCTAAATTGTATAACAAAAATTATTACATTATGTCATTGATCTAATGCACTGGAAATTTTTCAGTTTTGGGAGCTTACTTGTGCCATTCTACCAAATAAAGTAGCAGGAGAGTTTCGATTACGAGATGCTGCCTTAGTTGAGTTGCTGGCCTTGAGTGTGCTTTGTAGGAAAAACAATAATGTTGAAGTTGTAGAGAGCCAATATGCTAGATCATTTATTCCTTCTTGACTCTGAGAGCACGAAATGGAATTGCATTTTAGGTCGGAATTCTTACAGTTGTTTTCTTTTCTTTCAATTTCTTGATGTTTCTTCTTGTATTTGAGTTCTTGGAGTATAATACCTCAATAGATGGTCGGATTGTGTGAATAATTTTATCAAATATATGTGTCTTCTCTGCTTCAAAGGATCTCCACTGAAGAAGTGCTTTATAGATAACACAAGCAGCAACTGGCCTGTTTTTCTCAAATCTCTTGTCCTCTGCAAGACACTTGAGCAGTGCATCATGGCTTTCCTGTTTATGAAGAGATGAAAATTGTAATGTTTCATTTATCTATGTGATGCGTAGGATAGGGAAGAAATAAGAATAGGAAGAATAGAGAGGAATAGAGAAGAACAGAGAGGCAGAGAAGGAGTTTTCTGGATAGTGCTTAGGCGTTCATTAAGCATAGGTAACGAAATACAATAGAATCCCTTTATATAGGTGTTTATTCTAACCCAACTAACTTTAACTAACCCAGCGGCTCTTTCCTTTTATTTATTCTAATTAGATATCACTATGTGCAACTTCTTGCTTAATCTTATTGAAAACATACCTGCTGCCTATCTGTGAGTGATCTTTGTCTTATGAGGAAGGAGACTGGCTGTCTTGGTTCCTGAAAACAATTTTATAAGCTAAAATTAGCATACCGTTATCAAGTGTTGATCCAGACATTCTTGGAAGAATTAAAGAAGTTTGGGATACTTTTCTTGTCTGGTGTTCTTCAGTTGTCAGGTTTCCATTATCCAAATTCTGCAGCACCATAATAGACAGTGTCACATAACGAAATATTTCTATGAGAAAAGTTAAAGAGGTGTACCTTGACTGGTGAAGTCATTATATATGAAACAGCATTCTGTTGAAATTTCTCTGTAATAGCTTCCTGCTCTTCTTTTTCTATTTTTTCTGGATGAACCTTTTGCACCACAGCAGCTGCTGCCTGGCTCCGGAGAATTTCATTCTCTGATTCTAGATTTGCTATCTGCTCCTTGAGACTGGATATAGAGGAAAGATCTCAAAACAGGGGTATACTTGATTGCTTCAGCTTTATGCATGATGTATCAATGTTCCTTTCCAAATCTAATGCGATACAGTGGTAAAGAATATCATTGCCTTGTCCTTATGGAATAGCAAAGATCTTTTTGTACACATCGTATGTGTTTGGAAATATAAAATCTTTAAATCTTCATTGAAACTTGGAAGTCTGAAACCATTTGATAAGGCCAAATATCTATGGAGGGTACCACTTGCAATGTAACTATGTCCATCAAAGCATGAAACTGGGGAAGGGATCTTGTAGCTGTCTACAACTTTTTGGACATTCAAGTTATACCATATTCTGAGGACTGTCTTTGGATTCTAAGTATTTCTCAAGCAGAAAAATAATAATAGATGGTGCGGAAAAAGAAAGTCACATCTTACGTTTTAATCTCCTCGGAGAGTTCCTCATTTTTTGATTCAACCAAAGCCTGCTGGCGAAGAACTTGATTCTCAGATTCAAGGTTTGACAAATTTGACTCTAATCTATGGTCACAAGGAGAACACGATTAAAGCCAGTTTATAATGGTAGAAATGTTTTTTGTGGCCAGTTATTATTTGAATACCTTTCAAGAGTCTCCTGAAGTTGTGTTGCTTTCAGATGTGCTTCTTCAGCCTCTTTCATCCTTTCTTGAGACTCTTTTTCCATGTCTGAACACCTTACCTCAAACTCTTTAATCTTCTTCTTCAGCTCTTCTACTTCACTCTGCATTTTCAGAATTAAAATTAATTGCTTCTTGTCGTATTAAGTTTCCAAGAAAATTTATTTATATCTAGACGTAGTGCTTCAATGTCCATGTGGTTTTGACAGCGCATCAACCTGACGATTTTGCCATTCCACTTTCTTAATTCTGAATGAGAATAATCCTTAATATCTGGGAGACAATGATTTGGATTTACCTCTAGCTCCACATTTTTACTCGTCAGTATCTCAAGCTTGGTATTGTCCACGACAGGTACCTCTTTGATAACTGGTGGTGCTGACTCAATTGCTAGTTTAGCTGCTTCCTTCTCGTGTATAATTGCAGCATAGGCTTCATCAAGCTGACTTTGCATTTCTTGTAAAGCATTCTGTAACTTAGCAATTTCTTGACCTTTAGCTTCCTCAAGATCAATCTGCAAGATATTCATCAACATTATCTCGTTTGACCAATGTCCTAGATAGTGTTTATTAAATCTCTTACTTCCATGGAATGAAGAATAAGCTATGGTATTTTACTATTATTCACCAAGTAAATTTTAGTTCTGCAATGTTTATCTCGTAGAACCAGTTCGTTGGGCCCATACCCTTAAATGCTTTTCAATATCTAGTCGCCAAGTAAGCTCTTCAACACGCTTCTCCAACTTGTCCTTCGCCTCCTTAAGTGCCCCTGTTTCCCTCGCAGCCTGCACAATAGTTTTTCGCCATTAGCAATTTAACACGCTTTGAATTCTGAAACGTCCTTTTTCATATATAATAATTCTAAAATAACCACTGGACAATTTCCTAAAAATATATATAAGAAGTAACACTGACCATCCTTAGCTTCCTGAGCTCCTTCCTAGCTACTTTGGCTCTCCAGAGACATTGAAGAGCAATAGTTGCCTTCTTCAGCTTTTTGTAAGCAGAAAAAGCATCAACTCTTCTCCATTGTGTCTGTGAAAGGAAATGAGAAAGTTCTTAATTTTGTGCATTCTCACACCTTAAGCCTATAATTGTTGAAATCAATATGACTTTTTTCCAAGAGAAAAAATATATTTGACATCAGACGATTTCATAATGCGTTTGTTGACTCGTTTTGCCGTGAATATTCCAGTGAAGCCTTAACCCGAAAGAAAAGTTCCGTCAAAAAGATGTCCTTACCTGAATTTTGATTGCGGCCTTTGTTCTTCGTCTGTACCCGTATTCATTTCGTGCTGCCATTGCTCTTAACCCTGACTGAATAACTATTGCTGATGCTTGCAATGATGTATAGTGCATTCTTGCTGTGTGTGCACGTGCATGTTTCTGTATGCGGATAGAAGCTGCTTCCCGCCTCATATTCTCATAAAGTTTACGTGCAAGTTTTGCTGAAATAATGAAGAACAAAAAGAAGTGGAAATCAAGGTTTTATCCTGACCAGAGGTTAAGCATAATGACAACTCATTTTGTTAAGATAGGTAACCTCTCCATAATTTTTGGATATGAACTGTGGCCTTTCTCAGAGTGAGGAACTCTTTTCTGGTCAAATGTGTTCGGATTTGTCTCTGTATGCATCGAGCAGCTCTGGCTAACACTTCAGCTCTTCGTGCATCTAATTCAGCCATCTGACCAGCTCTGAGAAATACCTTGGCTTTTCCCATCTATATGAAACAGTGAGGGGGGGAATTTATTAGAGCTCAAAGCACTCAACGTACAGGAAAAATTAATGATGTCTTTAAACTTACTTGATAGCCTTTTAATCTCATCTTATCACATATAGCAACACATGCTGTTTTCTCGTCAGATCTACACAGAAGAAAGCAGCAACTATGTTATGGGATCACGTTTGAAGCTCAACATAATAGTATTTTCAGGTGATTCTTCAAGTAACTTGACACATCAATGTTCGTATTCTACATTTGACTCATGGTTCATGTAAAAGGAGCATCTATTTTAGTTCTCTCCAAAAACAAAAACAAAAAAAGGGGGGGGAATGTGGCATACCCATCTAGGACATCAGGAGCTAGCATTCCAAAACGATCAAGGAACTCATCAAATGTTCGTTTTGTTGGATATCCAGCACAACTAATCCGAATAGCCTCAAGTACTCCCTGCAAGGTTACCGGTGAGATAAATGCCATTAATTAAAGAACTTCCTGAAACATAACAAATAGTGTTATATTACAAGAATGAGAGGAAAAAAAACAACACACCCCACATCTCAACTGGTTTAAGACGTTGAAGTTCTCAAATATTCCAGGCTGCAAAACTGTATTTGGTTTCACACATCTGATGTAGTGTGGTTCTGTTGTGTTCAATGTGTCCATCAGAGATTGTAGTTGTTGCTGGATGACAACAGATTCAGAAGCAAGTTAGGGGCTGAAAAGAATATCTTGAAACAGGTGCCATGCCTTCTAGAATCTTTTACCTTGAACCGTGTACCAATGGAAGAAAATTTTGATTGCTTTGATGTCTCCTCAGGTAATGGAGGGAAAAGATTTGCAACAAATGAGCACTTGGAGGCATTTAAAAGAGCTTGATGCTCTGCTACGACATAATCTTTATTTTTGTCAAGAAACTGGTCTGCTTGGTATGTGACCTGTATTTCAAAGGTCGGGCAACATGAAATTAATAGTTTTACATTTGTGACTGGATGGTCAAGTAGTGATGTTAGTATTTATCTTACATCCCCAGCATAATGGTTAATTGTGAAATCTGTTCGAGAAAGTTTGGGCTTGCTAAAGCGCTTGTGTCCTTTATACGTCTGATACAATTTTTGGGCAAATGTCTCATGGGTTGACTTGGGGAACATGCTGCAGAAAATATGAAATGTGAAAATGTCTCATTTAAGAAATTCTTTCTTAAACATATTTTGATTATTTTTTTCCTTAAAAAAAATGCATAGTATTGAAAGGAAAGAAAATGGCATACCAGGCCTCATCAAGAAGAGCAATAATTCCCCCCGGTTTCTGCAATGCAGAGCTTGTAAATATGTTATCTGGTGGAAAAGGTCTTTGGATAAGCAATGTGAGCTACTGATTACCTTTTCAATAAGATCCAGAACATCTTGATTATCTACAAATTCTACATAGCTCCAGTTGATTTCCTCCTTCGTGTATTCTTCTTGCTCCATCTTAAATACGTGCTGTTCAGAAGATGCATTTTTTTAATAACGTTATTTTTTTTTTTTTGGTCTATCTAATAATGATTAAACTATATACTAGAAGTTACAGCCTTGCCTGGTTAAAATGTTGTTGCAACTTCTCATTTGTCAGGTTGATACATAGTTGCTCAAAACTAGTAAATGAAACATAGAATAAGATTCCAATACGAATATGTAAAAAAAAAAAAAAAATTTTAATCTGAATTGCACACATTCTGTATTTACCTGTTGATTTTGAAGCTTTCAAATCCATAGATATCGAGGACTCCTATTAAGCTTACTGCATTTGGGTCTTGTCCAATTGAACTGTTAATCTTGTCCACAATCCTACCATAGTTCAAGAATGAATTTAAATTATCTCAATCCTTGTCTCAAGATGCAAGTTTGCGTTTTTTTTTTTTTTTGGTTACTTTACTTACCAATCAAACAGCCTGGAGTAGACAGTCTTTGCCAAAGCATCCCGACTCAAAGCAGCCGAGTCAGGGTCTAATGGTTTTGTGATGTTACCATCAGGAGTAACTATGACACGCTTGCAAAGTGAGTCTTCTAATGCTTTCTCATCACACCTGAACATGTATATATGTTTACAGGCATCAGAGAGAATCATACAATACAAACAATGTGATGTGAGCTTGACAGATTGTATGAAAGTCTTTACATGAGTAGCTCTGCAGTAGTGCGAAGGTGGAAGATTGATTTCTCATCTTTTAATTTGGAAGAATCAACTTCCTTCCCTTTGATGAAGTCAATATTTCCAAGATGGAGGATTGCTGCTACTACGCGGAAAATAGCATCCTGTAGATGGAGACATTCATTGATCAAATATAGGAATGGATTGAATGAAATCACTGTTTCATCGAAATGAGAAGAACTGATGCTTTGGACCAGAACCTGCTCATCCTGGTTGATGCCTACAATATCCATTGCATTTCTGGTCTCCAGGTATTCTTTTGCATCATCCACATTTGCTACTTCATAGCAGTTTGTTTGATTAAGGTAGCGAAATGTCCTAGGATCCCCCAACTTGTACTTTTTGACATCCTATGGTCAAAGTTTTAACAGTTAGATCTAGAGAGGCTGTATTACCAACTTTTATTTTCCAGGAAGATATAAATTCAGCGGAAGTAGTAAATTTTTTCGACCAAATATTTGAGAAGTCACCTCTGGTGGTGCTGCACAAAGCATGTAAAAGCAGTGATAGTTCCTTTCTGGGTCAGAAACTTGGCAAACTCGTGACCTTTCGAGGAGATATGTACGGATTGCAGCTCCAGAAATCTTTCCATTCTTGTCAAATTGTATTTCAACAAATTTACCAAAACGACTGATATGATTTCAAATAAGTTTGTGAGAACAACTGAAAAGGAGTTTATGACGGGAAATAAAATAACAGTCAAACATATCTGTATAGTTTACCTTGAATTGTTATTTTTGACAGTTTTGGCATTCCCGAATGCTTCCAATACTGGATTGGACTGAAAAATAGAGAAGGTCACTCCATCTATGATTTTATTTATTCGACAATGAGAAATAAAATGTGGTGTTTCGAATTCAAACTCACCTCCAAAACCTGTTGTTCTACTGTTCTTCCTTCGGTATTAGATCTACCCCCCATGAAAGCTAGATATCTCATAAGCATTTTCGTTGTCTCTGTTTTACCAGCTCCACTCTCTCCACTCACCAAAATGGACTGGCTTCCATTATCATTAATCATTGCCCTGATATATCATGCTAAGGTAATATCGTAAACGTTATCTTTTTTTTTTTTTTAATGGATTATCAGCAAGAATCAAATGGTAACCCTTTCATTGACACTTTGATTCTACCAATAAGCTATTGACTTTAAACAAAACTGTCTTTTGCTTGATTTTTTACCTGTAACAGGTATCTGCAATAGCAAAAAGGTGAGGGCTTAGCTCTCCAAATGCTGCTCCTTTATACTGCTCCATCATATGTATATCATACAAGTGTGGCAATCTCCGGAAAGGATTTACTGCTATTAAGATATTCCCTGTATATGTCTGCTTATACCATTGTTAGTACACAGATTTTACTCCTCTCTTTCATGCCATCAATGTAAGGAATGTAAAAGGCAGAATGAGTTGATTCGGTTGTTGAGACTCACGTATATCTCATTGAGAGAAAAACGGATAGAAAGGTTATGCAGTACTCCTGGCTCGTGAAGGTATGCCAACTTGGTCATGTCATCAACTCCGGCTGGTGGTGCCTCTGTATCTTTAGGATATATGCTAGAAACACTTGCAACAATCTGAAATTGAGGTATATGCTAACTATCAGTTTGTCTGCATCCTCATGCTTGTCCTTCTGGCATCAACTTTTTGGTTTTTTGCATTATTGTCAAGTAGTGTTCAAGTTAGTTTCAGTGCATTTAACAAATCCACCTGCTTAGTCTGATTCAAATTAGGCCATGCCCAACACAACTAGGGGATTCACACGGAAATTCCTAGTGGTTTGGCTCCAAGAAATCGACATTTTTGGATTCCAAACCTGGTATTGTGCCACAAATGCCCCATCATATTGGAGGAATTTTGCTCGACAGATTAGGCTCAGTTTTTTTAATAATAATAATAATAATAATTGGAGTGAATGCTACTCGAATATAAATGTATACTTGGAAGTGTAAATAAATTCAAATTTGTGGGATGAAACAGTTTGTTTTTCATCTGACATTGATGGTAGTGTCACTGGCTTGATTCCGTTCTGAATACTACGAGAAATATTCCACCATTTTCTCTTAGGTTCAATTCTGTTCTGTATGATGACAACTTGAATTGCCGCTGCTATTATTCAACCAAAACTATCTTATTTTGTTATAACTCTAGAGTGGGAAAATATCATCAAGATTTCAGATCCAAAGTTGTGATGCTAAATTGCTAGTTCTGGACAATGAGCAACGTTCTTCAACACATGGCTCTGAAGTGCCTAAGATATTGACATCTATACAATATAGAATGGACTGGATGAAGTGATCATGTTTTTCATCTAACAGACGAAAGAAGCTTACAGTTTTGCCCTCTGTAGTAATGATGGTGGCGTCGCTGTCATTGATTTCTGTGACCTGACCATCAGTCCAAGCATTCTCAGGATCCTCCACCCAGACATGTGATCCAACGATTATATTCACCGGAGTTCCCTGAATACCCCATCATGACAAGAAAGCCAGAAAAAGCATCAGTAACGATCCCAGACCGAAAAGTGAAAGAAAGCTCAACATCAGGAGCTCATTACCATGATGCTGCTAAGTTCTGCTGATCATGAAAGATATTTGAGAATGATGACTTGAAGAACTAAACTCGATGAAACTGATTCAACTCTGAGAGGGAGGGAGGGAGAGATGGTTAAGGTAAGGAAAGGTGATATGGTGTTGTGTCAATGACGAAGCTCAGAAAGAGAGAAAGCAGAGAGAAAAGGAAGGAACAAAAGGGAGTAGCAAAGACGAGGAAATGCCAGGGTGGTAAGACAAACAAAAGCCTGGGAACAGTTTCCTACTCATCTTTAGGATGAGAACTCATTCCAAATATGAGATCTGTCCAAATTTAAAATAAAAATTTTATTTTAATAAATTAATATAAAATAATATTTTAAATTTAAAAATTTAAACAATTTAGATCTCATATCTAAAATGAGCACAATGTGCTCATCCTACGGTGCTCATCCTAACAATGAGTAGGGAACCATTCCCACCTCCAAAAGCTAAAGTTTAACTTTTCTTTTTTGCTCATCCCATCGTAGATGCTGACATGGCACCTCTACACATATAAGCAGTTGAGAATGTGGAATTGAATTGAAGTGTGTGGTGTTGGGACATGATGAGTATGTGTGGGGCCATTGCTTAAGGAAGACGAAGAATAGATCACCGCCCAGGTGATAATTTAGATTCTTAAAGAGGGTCTGTTTTGGTGAGGTCATATGGTATTATTTGATCACACTACCATGCATAGCTGTTAAGGGATCATGCTCAAATTTGGCTTTTTATTTCATAGTACATATCTTAACTTTGTTCTGGTGAGATTGGTAAACGGTTTTGTTATTATTATTATTATTATTATTATTATTATTATTATCACCATAAATAAGTTACAGTACAGTTCTCTTCTTGTGACTAGGCTCAAGATCCAAGTTTGATTAGTATTAAACATATATTGATTTAATGGAAGGCATGAACATAACAACAGATGTATACCTTGCACTTACAGAATGGCTTTATAGATTATTATATAATTTATTGAGAAATAATTATTGAAAAGAAAAGAAAAGGAGGTAGAGAGAGAGAAGAAGAACCACACAAAGGGCTACACGTGGAAGATTGAAAAGGGGAAAGGAGGCAAAGTGTTTGGGAACTTTGTGCAAGTCTTCCCCATCCACCAAACCTTGTGGGTTGCCTTCCTCTTTCAATCTTTTTAAGCTTTCAACTCCAACAAAATGGCGGTGGAGTCGGTCAGCCAAGGCCAACGCTGATATTATATATATGTCAATTCAGACATGTTTGGCATATTGTTTTTTGAAGGAAGATGATAAAACGAATACGTTACTCTTGCTGTTACATTATCATTCAGACGGCATATTAGCATGTTTCCCATCTCTTGCCACTCCTTCATTCCCATTTGTTAGTTATCTATATTAATTAGATATTTTTGTAGATACAATACATGAACCATGACATAATTTTAATATCATATGCATAACTCCATGATATAATACCATTGAGTTTTGTAATTTCCTCACGCGGACACAATCCAGTTTTTGGATTCTTTGAAAAGAGTTTAAAATACATATGCAATTCCTTTCACATGAAAAGATATGAGAATCTCACAACCACTCACTCACACACAAAAAGTAAATTGGTTGACATATTTTGGTTCTTAAAATTAAAAAAACCCAACCCAAAAAATAGTTATTAAAATGGGATAAATTTAAATATCCATTGAGACTCACATATTAAATATGAGACTTGATATTTTATACTATTAAGTTTTTATCAATTAACCTCTTATAAAAAGTTGACATACCGACAGTTGAATTTAATAACACTTAATTTAATCTTTATTAGTCCACATCTTTCATGAGTAATCCTTATTTAAAAGGATCAATAACCTAATTCTAATACTAGTTGATGTATATTTAGGCAAAAAAGGAAACTCTAACCCCTCCTTTGAAACTAGGAATAGGAATATAATATGAGATTTAGTGTCCATCAAAGTTATTTTCAATTCAATTGGATTGCATATACTCATTTAGTTGTGATGAACTAGTCCAGTCACGACTAGTAAAATGTTACATACTTTAAACTAATGCACCTAAAAAGAGCTGAGACTGTACCAATTTGCCTCAGGTATAAAAAGAGAAGGCATTAGTAATGAGAGAGTGATGTGGGACCTTAAACAAGGCGAGGGGTAAACTGTGAGAGAATTAATAAAGAAACAGAAACACAGCGTGGCTTTGGCAAGTAAAGCTGTCTCCATCATTCTCTTTCTCTTCCCTTGTGTTGCCATCATGCCTTCATCCTCCATCATTACCCCCTTCCCCCATTTTTCTTCTTCTTCTTCTTTTTATAAATGTTATAAATATATAAATGGGTGTCCTGTGTAAGATCATAGGAAGATGCTTCTCTTGTCGGTCTATGACTTGGCCCCATGTTCCTCCTAACCTTTCTTTTCTTTTGGGGTTGCGCTTCAAATGCCACTTTTAGAACATCTGTCCTTTGACTCCAATTCTTTCTCTCTCTCTCTCTCTCATTCTCTTTTCTTTCCTAATTCCGACTCCCTTCTGTGTGAACTTGGAGGCAAAACAAGCAAATTGAAGCACACATACCGTCGCCATCACAAGTAGAAGCCAAGTCAAGGACCAGCATTGAGTTTCCCAGTGATAGAGAAATGCCTTTCAATGACGTTGATCAGCAAACGACACTTGGCTTATTCTTCCGCACTCTATCTCTTGGATTCTAGCTTTCTCAGAAAACGAAAGCATCCTCCATTCTGGGAGTCTGACAGGATCTGAGAATTGGAGATTCATGGGCAAGGCAAAAAAAAAAAAAAAAGACATGTTTCAGAAAAGCAGTGATATATCATGGGTTGATGTCCAATTGCAAGCTGATCCATTCACCTTCTTTTTATCAATCTCTACATGCAATTTTACTGTCTCTAGCAACATTTGGAAATAAATGACATATTTACAGACATTAAGGAATACAGTTAAAATTAGAAAATGTATTTTAAAAAAAAAAATCCTACGTTGATTGTTTGAATTGGTGGCTATACATTTAATAATGATAACTTAATGAAAGTAAAAACAAATAAATTTTCAAATAACATTGGCAAAAAATAAGTTTTTTAATAAATGCACAAGATAATAGGCAATTGGTTATATTTATAGTCAAAAAAAGCTCTCATTTACTTTTTTAAGGGACCTGCTGGTGGGACCCATCTATATTGTTCACCATAAGGGCCTACGGTAGACGCTATGTTGCCATTAATGTTCCTAAAAGTTCAATCCTCATCCAATCATCTATAAAAATTTTCATATTTGCCCCCAAAAAAATTTCATTTGCTCGTATTAACAAGTTGGCAGCTTTAAATTTGGTGATTGGGATAAATCTACTTACCCAACAAATATATTAATTATAATTATTAAATTTTATCAACACTTAAAAATAATTGACATATATATATATATATAAAAAAAATTTAAAACAATCATCATGATTATAACACTCTCACATATATTATTCCTTTCAAAAATTTAAAATTTAATATTTTTTGAATATCATATAATAAAATTTCTTATAACTATAGTCCTTTGATTTGATCACAGTTATAATCATATTTCGTGGAACACTCAATAAGCGAATATAGCTTTAAGCCACTTCCTTGATCTAAATTTGAATTTCACTGTCATGATTTTATGCAAATATTACTTGTATTAGGATAATATTATATTTTATGTTATTATAATTGTATAACTTTTGTATTGTTTCTTTAATATTTAGTTTTGATAAATTTTAATATCATATTAATTTAACAGATAATTATAATTATCATTTTTTAAAGAATATTTATATTATGCACAAATTCTTCCCCACAACTGGGGCTGCCATCGAAGCGTGTGTTAATCT